TCCCGATTTTGACCTAACTTTTCAAAACGGAGTAAGCCACTAAATTCTACGACCCAAAATTAAGTTTAGGTGTCTCGGGGTTTTTCTGTGTCTTTTTGACATACTTACAGTGTTATCAATACTAGTTTTTTAAACGATAAAAATGGATTGGTCTCATGAAATCCAAAGTAATCGGTTTTATGTTAGATTTAAAATTTAATGCTTTATTGAATAAAAAACTATAACATTGGTTTTCATGAGACTAATGTATTTTTTGCAGTTTTCAAGTTCTACAAACGAAAATAATTTTTTTCAAAATTGTAAAATAGGCTAAAAAATTAAAAAAAAATTAAATTTGATTTTTTTTAAATAAAGTTTTGAAAAAAAATGAAAAATGTACAAAAATGAAAAAAAGCGAAAAACTTCAAAATATGCACTAAAAGAGTAAAATATGCTCTAAAAACTCGAAAATATGCCATAAATATGCTACAAAAGTCAAATCATGCAAAATTATGCTTTTATGGGTAAAATATGCAAAAATATGCTCTAACAAATCGATGCCAAAATTCAAAAATTGGTCTGAAACGTGTAAATATCTTATCCATGAGTCCATACGACGCAACACAAAAAACATGCATTTGCATATTCTGGTTTCCCTGGTCATTACATTTAATTATTATTGTATGCTTGACGATGGTTGATTTTATTTAATTTTGTTGTGGCACATACTAGAACTCATATGCAAACAATTTATATTAATTGAAATAATTGATTTAAAAACACACACTCGTACGTACACTCACGTGTATATTAAAGTCCCCATTGCATGAGTTTATGTTTGCTATAGAAATCTGATCGATTGGTCTGTTAAGGGTTTTACTGCTATGTAAACATGGCCAATGACGAATCATATTTTATTTGTATTTTATCTTGTGTACTAATTGCATTGTTAGAACTAATATCAAGGTGGCAAAAATATGTAAAAAGAAATAACGATAAATTGTTAATAAGTTTTTATATAGTATTTGAAGGTGTAAGAGAATTAGTCATTGATGAATAATAAGCACTCTATGTTTCTCAATACATTTTATATACACCATCAAAAAAGACGACATTTATAGTACATCGAAATATTGATCGTAGACCATAGTAGACCATACGACTATCTAGCCATCTCCAGCAGTTTGTCTGTTGTAAGCTGTTGTTGACATAAGCTGTTGTGACATATAAAAATATTATGAATATTTAAAAAAATATATATATTTTTGTTTAAAAAAGTCGCTCTTTTCAAATTTATGAAAAATGATTTGATGTGGGAGTATAAAGCTCAATATTGCCGAATTTAAATCAATTTCTTGCTATTGCTTAACCTATAGGTAACATTATAATAAGAACCACTTTATGAGTCCATTCTAAGCAAAAAATTTTTGAATTTAAATTTAATCTAAACTAAATATCTGCTAAACGGATGCAAACATAATTACTTTAGATTTTGAACAGCAATCCTTCTAAGGAATTTTAAATGAATATGTACTCTAGTACAAGGAACCTTCTTGTTAAGAATTTGTATATATTCTATAACGCATCCCTATAACAAGCTCAGAGTGTGATAAATTCGAACAAAAATTATTGATTAAATCCAAATAGATCTTGTGACGATTATAATCATCCTTTCAATAACTATTTATAGAACTAATACAATTTTTTCTGTATTCATCAGACCTTTTTCAAAATATGACTTCATTAATCGCAAAGTTTTTAAAACGTTCCTTTGCAAAAAACCTTAATAATAACCTAAATCTCTATAAATTTACTAAGACCACTTGTAAAGATTACCTGCCTTATCTAAAAACTATTAAGTATTAAGTTAAAATAGTTATTAAAACCTGTTTTTATATGAAATAAGTGGGCGTGGCCAACCATTTGATACCCTACATCAGTTATGAGAATAAAATGTGATTTATCATTCATAATAAAGCATTAATGTTGATTTGTATCTTGCCTCCGTTATATTTGAACAATTGATAGATGAACATTGGACATTTAAATACATTTCTAATGCAGGCTTTGTATGGGTGCTAGGGTGAAATGAGGCCCAATCATTACAAAATTTTGGGTCATCAAGAGTAGTATAAAACTTAGTTGTGCCACTATTTGACCAGTCATTACAAAATTTTGCAGGGTCATCAAGAGTAGTATAAAACTCAGTTGAGCCACTTTTTGTCCAGACATGGATATATTACACATAACTATGAGTTAAAAAGTTCAAATCGAGGGGTTCGTTTGTATGAGGGCTAGGTGAAATAATGGTCCGATTTTTATGAAAATCAATAGGATTTGACCTTGGGTCAAAAGTATTAAATTTTATTGAATCATCTTCAAAATTGCGACCTGTACTTTGATTACAAGATTACGCATATCATGGACAGACGGAATGACATGGATTAATTGACTCAGAAAATGATCAGCAAACGTATGTATAATACCCTCCCCACTATAGTAGTGTAGGGTATAAAAAGTATGTAGTAAACCATTGTTAACTTTAATAATCGTTTTTGCATAAGACAGTACTTCTTTTGTCTTCCATGAGCTTTGTGATTACTTAGTGGGATGCTAGGATATATTTATACAAAAAATATTTAAATTCCAAAAGCAAAGTTTTTGAGTTAAAATATATATTTTTTTCACATATGCCCTTTGCATCCCACTAAGTGACCACAAAGCTTTTAAAGGAAATGGTCTACTTCTATTCAAAAAAATAGGGGAAAATTAAGTGACAAATATTAAAAAAATCTTATTCTTAAGTTAAAAAATAATTTGTTTGTATATAAGCTATCTTTTGAGCAAAAAAACAAAACAAAAGAGTTTTTTGAAAAAAAAAATTTTGAAGCATTGAAAAAATATCTATCTGAACTCGTTTGAATAAAACCCTGTATGACCAAAATGTCCAACACTGAGCCCCCCTAAGTTTGTGTCTGGTCTACTATCCAATAGTACTAACCTTGGTACAAATTTCATCAAAATCGAAAGACATCGATTTTTAAAGTTGGGTCACTTGACACGAAATGACCCATATGTATATCTTTATTATCCATAATTTGCCTAAGACCCCAATGGACCTACACATTTTTATACTCACCATCAAAAATATGGGGAGTATAGCGATGAAATTCGACATTAGCAAGTTTCTTATGAGTTAAAATCTCTTTACCAAATTTTATGAGAATCGGTCCACAATTGACTCTACTCCCCATATAAGGTCCCCCTCAGAAAATTACTTTAACGCTCACTACTGGCTTAAAAATACGAGTATAGCGCTGAAATTCGACTTAAGTAAGTTTCTGATGAGCACTAATCTTTGTACCGAATTTTATGAAAATCGGTCTAAAATTGACCGTACCCCCCAAATAATAATATAATGTTAATCCTAAAGGAATATGTCCATAATTGACTTAAGCCCTATTTCAAATATCAACCTAATGTTTATATAGGCCGATATATAAGATTCGGCTAGTTGAATATAAAAAGTTTATATTTTTTATGAAAAACTGAAGTACCTACTGATCATTTGGCAATTTTAGGTTTATTACATAAAAATAAATTTTAGATGAAAATTTCAACCGATTTTTGAATTTTCATATAAAAATTAAATTTAAAAAAATTATTATTATTTCTTCAATTCGATCTTATATACCCTTCACCTAAGTTTGTTAAAAAAAAATAAAAAATAAAATTAATTTAATTTTTTTATTTAAAATTTTTTTAGTTTTAAGGATATAATTTTAATTTTAAAAATAATTTTTTTTCTCATTTTTCAGTAACTTTGTTAATAACAAAACAATAACAACACACATACAGTTTTTGATTTTTCATATAAAAATACTTAGATTTGTGATGGAAAACTTTAAGTAATTTTGTTAAAATCATGATCAATAATAAAAATAAAAACCGAATTACTTCCAAAAGAATTACATTTATCAGCACATCAAAAGTAGCACTAAGTAAGTCTAAAGTGATCTGTGGAAGTGATGTTTATTGATTTCCAAAGAAGCGAAAATAATTAAATTTTTGTTATAAATATGGTTGTACCGGCTTACTATATTTCTATGCACCATTGTGCAACCATTTAAGTTAATGCGATCATCTATATTAGTTGACTCATCAATAACATACAATAAACGTTTATCCAATACTAATAGCGGTAAAAAACAATCTAATGGAATTTACGTTTATTTTTTAAAAATTAACAAATAACAACAATTGTGTTTTACTTACCTAAATGTATATATTTTTTGTAACAAATAAATGCTGGATAAAGCAAATCCTTAATTGTTTATTAATTATGTGTTTATTTTTGTAAATTTTATTTTATTTTTTTTAATTGTTTTTAAAATTTGTATTTTATTTAAATAATCAAGAGACTTTTTAAATTGACTATACAATACAAATGTGGTTAAACAGTTTTTAATAATTAAATTTATGAATGAATAAAATATTATTAAATTTTTTATTACAAAAAATAAGAGCTTTACTTATTTCTACTGTTATAAGTGGCGATCTGAACTTTAGAAATGACCAAGTAGAATAGAGAACAAGCAATTGTTTAGCTTGTTTGTGGGAAATTTCCTCACAATAATGAAAAATGTTTTTTACATGACTAAAAAATTGTCTTTGTTTATTAATGTCGAGAAATTTGTTTTAATATTTTACTATACTTTTAATAGAAAAACTCTAACATACAAACGATACTTACAAATGTATTTACAATATTCTGTAATAAAATTCATAAAAATAAAACAATGAAAATGTAAAGAACTTATAATTTAAATGCAATAAATTTTTCACTACGATATTTTTAACATAGTATGTCAATAAAGTTATTTACATAAAAAATTGCTAACAATGTTGGTAAACAAAGATTTTTATTAAATAAATAAAATTGTATTATTATACATATATAAATGCACAACAATTAACATTTTTATTATCATAATTTTAATTTAAATTTCCTCTTTTTACAGATTGTCTTTTATCAATTCCACAATGTCAATTTCCTTGACATTTTTTATTTACAAATTTTTAAAAATTTCCCTTCTAAATGGATACGCAAATTACATTTGTGATATACTGTAAGTAGAGAAATGTATGCATGTTTATAAAATTAATACATTATTTATTAATCGTATACTACACTATTTTATTGAAAGCAATTTATTCAATTGTTTATAAATAATCAATTTATATAAAAAATATTAGATAATGAATAGGAAATTTAAAATATCTTCATTCAATGTATGGAAAAGCTAAATGTTCCATAATATTTAAAATATGGCGAAAGTTTGAAATAGCTAGGTCATTTCTCGAGAATATACGAACTAAAACTCTACTAGAACTGGACTAGAAAAGAAATAGAACTGAATTAAAAATGCACTAGAAGTGAACTAGCAGTGAACTAGAAGTGAACTAGAAGTGAACTAGCAGTGAACTAGAAGTGAACTGAACTAGAACTGAACTAGAACTGAACTAGAACTAAACTAGAACTGAACTAGAACTGAACTAGAACTAACTGAACTAGAACTGAACTAGAACTGAACTAGAACTGAACTAGAACTGAACTAGAACTGACTAAGAACTGAACTAGAACTGAACTAGAACTGAACTAGAACTGAACTAGAACTGAACTAGAACTGAACTAGAACTGAACTAGAACTGAACTAGAACTGAACTAGAACTGAACTAGAACTGAACTAGAACTGAACTAGAACTGAACTAGAACTGAACTAGAACTGAACTAGAAACTGAACTAGAACTGAACTAGAACTGAACTAGAACTGAACTAGAACTGAACTAGAACTGAACTAGAACTGAACTAGAACTGAACTAGAACTGAACTAGAACTGAACTAGAACTGAACTAGAACTGAACTAGAACTGAACTAGAACTGAACTAGAAACTGAACTAGAACTGAACTAGAACTGAACTAGAACTGAACTAGAACTGAACTAGAACTGAACTAGAACTGAACTAGAACTGAACTAGAACTGAACTAGAACTGAACTAGAACTGAACTAGAACTGAACTAGAACTGAACTAGAACTGAACTAGAACTGAACTAGAACTGAACTAGAACTGAACTAGAACTGAACTAGAACTGAACTAGAACTGAACTAGAACTGAACTAGAACTGAACTAGAACTGAACTAGAACTGAACTAGAACTGAACTAGAACTGAACTAGAACTGAACTAGAACTGAACTAGAACTGAACTAGAACTGAACTAGAACTGAACTAGAACTGAACTAGAACTGAACTAGAACTGAACTAGAACTGAACTAGAACTGAACTAGAACTGAACTAGAACTGAACTAGAACTGAACTAGAACTGAACTAGAACTGAACTAGAACTGAACTAGAACTGAACTAGAACTGAACTAGAACTGAACTAGAACTGAACTAGAACTGAACTAGAACTGAACTAGAACTGAACTAGAACTGAACTAGAACTGAACTAGAACTGAACTAGAACTGAACTAGAACTGAACTAGAACTGAACTAGAACTGAACTAGAACTGAACTAGAACTGAACTAGAACTGAACTAGAACTGAACTAGAACTGAACTAACTGAACTAGAACTGACTAGAACTGAACTAGAACTGAACTAGAACTGAACTAGAACAGAACTACAACTGAACTAGAACTGAACTAGAACTAGATCTAAACTAGATCAGATATGATTCAAACCGAAGTTTAGGATTAATGAATTCTATTTAAAATTATGTCAGTTTATTTTTTATTTGACTTAAAATTCGATAGGAACAGCTGAAAAGGTTTTTGATTCATTATGTGCCATATTGAATGCAAACAAGATTTATTAATTTAACTATTGAATGCAAACAAAATTTAATAATTTAACTGTATTTGATTTTTTATATTACTTTATTTAAAGGAAATAGTTTATTTAATTAATTTATATTTAATCGTTTATATGCTGCTTTGGAAAGCATAAATTTCTAAAATAACGTTTTTTTAACATATTCTCAACCATATGGCACTCTATTTTGTCTCAACATGGCAACACCGTTTTTACTCTTTTTAAAATTTCACACATAGATGGCGCTGTGCATATCAAGTTAACCTGTCAACTTGTTTTCGTAAATTTGCAAAATTAACATTTGTTGTTGACATTTTCACTTGCATTTAATTAGATTTTTCACAAGACGTAGAAAAATAATAGCAAATAATAATAAAAAGAAATTTATAAAGTGCTTTATCCACAAATTAAAGTGTCAAAATTTATTAGCAAATAATATAAAAGGCCATAAATGAGTGTACAAAATGAATTCGCAACAGCCAACACAATATAATTTTAAAGTTGTTCTACTTGGGGAGGGGTGCGTGGGAAAAACATCGATTGTTTTGCGTTATGTCGAGGATAAATTCAATCCTCAGCATATAAGTACACTACAGGCTTCATTCCTCACCAAGAAAGTGACCCTAGAAAATGGTAGCAAGGTGCAGTTGAATATCTGGGATACTGCAGGACAGGAACGTTTTCATGCTCTCGGACCCATATACTATCGGGGTTCTCATGGTGCCATACTGGTATATGATATCACCGATCAAGACTCGTTTCAAAAGGTAAAAAATTGGGTTAAAGAACTTAAACGTATGCTAGGCTCTGAAATAATCCTAGCCATAGCAGGCAATAAAATAGACTTGGAAGAGCAGCGTACAGTAATGGAAGAGGATGCATTGTCATATGCTGAAAGTGTAGGTGCTCATTATTTTGAAACTTCTGCCAAAACAAATGACAATGTAGAGGAGGTATTTGTAGAGCTAACAAGACTTATGGTGCAACATGCCCAACAAAACAATCAAAAACAAAGAACAATGACTCAACAGCAATTCGGCCAAAGACGTTTAATCGTAGAAGATTCCACAGAGGGCAATGATGGTAATCAATCCCAAGTGCCTGAAGGTTCTCGTTCCTGTTGTGGTTAAAATGTTGTTGTAAAGGGTTTATAAATAATCACACCTCATTTATTCACCCAACCACCCAAAAAACATTTCTCTACATTAAACAATAAAAAAATGTGCAGCAGTAATAAAAGTATACCGACCCTGCATATGTGAGCGAGTAACTTTAGTAGTTTAATTATTTAAATAAATAAATTTATGTGATAAAATTATTAAATTAAACAAAAATATATAAAGAAAATCGTATATATGTTTATAAAGTACATGTATTTAATATTATATTGTTAATAATTTGTTTATTTCTACTTTAATTCTACTTATTCTTAAACAAAATAGCTTAGAAATATTTAATTTCTATTATTTTCTCTACTTCTACTTTTAAAAGTAGCTTAAGCTTTTATGTATCAAATGTATCATGTCTCTGTGAATATAAAAAAAAAGAAATTGCTTGTCCAAATAATCAACTTTTAATTATCTATTCCCTAGAAAGAAATAAAAAGAAGAAAGAAAAAATAAAAATTGTCGCTGACACCGAGGAAAACATCATCATATTTTGTACGCCGTAATATTAAGAGTTATTAAAACATGTCTGCTTATGACTCAACATTTCTGGAGATAACGTTTATAATGTTTTGGCTTTAGTCATTATGTTTTCGAATTACGAGAGGTAGGTGAAGTGTTATAAAGTTATTGACGTTATTAACTTTTAAATACATTTAGGTGACAATAAAGTAGCAGCTTCATATAAGCATTTAAAGGGACAGAAGATGATTTGTTCAAAGTGAGCAACAAGAACATTGATGGTGTTGCTGATTTTATAAAACTTTCAAAGGGTAAGTTTATTTTTATTACATATATTATTCGTATTGTCGTACGTTTTTCTGTATTAAAAAAATAAATATCGTCCGAATTTGACGAATTCAAGTAGAAATTAAGTTCATCTTAAATGGAACTGAAATACAACTAAATTAGAATTGGGCTAGTAATTAACCGAACTAGGTCTGATCTAAAACTAAACTAAAACTATAAAAGAACTATAACTGCATTAGAACTGAAAAACATGAACATAAACGAAACTCGAACACGATTAAAACTGAAATATAAATGAACTAGCTCTAAAACCGGTCTAGAATTTAACTAGATCTAGAAAAAAAAATAACTGAACTTAAAATGGATATGAAATGTACAAGAACTGAACTAGCACTGCAATAGAACTAGAAATGAAATATAATTGAACTAGGACGGAAATAGAACTATAACTGAACTAGACTTGAACTAGAACTGAACTAGACTTGAACTAGAACTGAACTAGACTTGAACTAGAACTGATCATGAACTGAAATAGAACTGAAGTAGAACTGAACTAGAACTAAACTTGAACTCAAATAGAACAGAACTAGAAATGAACTAAAACTGCAATAGAACTAGAAATGAAATATAATTGAACTAGGACGGAAATAGAACTATAACTGAACTAGACTTGAACTAGAACTGAACTAGACTTGAACTAGAACTGATCATGAACTGAAATAGAACTTAAGTAGAACTGAACTAGAATTGAACTATAACTGAACTAGAACTGAACTAGAACTGAGCTAGAACTGAACTAGAACTGAACTAGAACTAAACTAGAACTGAACTAGAACTGAACTAGAACTGAACTAGAACTGAACTAGAACTGAACTAGAACTGAACTAGAACTGAACTAGAACTGAACTAGAACTGAACTAGAACTGAACTAGAACTGAACTAGAAATGAACTAGAACTGAACTAGAAATGAACTAGAATTGACCTAGAATTGACCTAAAACTGAACTAGAACTGAACCAGAACTGAACTAGGGCTGAACTAGTACTGAACTGAAACTGAACTTAACTATAACTAACTAGAACAGAATTAGAACTAAACTAGTACAGAATTAGATCTAAACTAGAACTGATCTAAAACCAATATGCAGCTAATTGTGGTTTTGTTCTTCCATCCGTTATGTAATAGATTAATTATTTCCATAAAATTTTACACTCCAATTAAATAATACAATTTTTTTTTTGTTTTATTGTACTTTATTGTTATTATAAAGTGATGCAACAAATTTGCATTTATTAAAAAAATAATTCATATATTTATATATAAATGCTTTTATTATTATTCTTTCATATTATACAAAACTTTTTTTAATAAGACTCTTAAATTCGAAACAAAAGTATTTGTAAATAAAAAACAAAACGAACAATATTTTTTCTTTTTGTTTACACATACTATATAGATGTTTTTAATATAGTTAAAAAAAAAGACGAACTAAAAGTTTTTTTTACTTAAAAACTAAAATTTCAAGAATATTGCTATTCTTCTACTGTTTTATTATATTAGAGTTGTGATCATTACTTATTACAAATTATGAATAGTTTTTGATAAATAAAAATAGAGAAAAAGGGGTTATAAAATTGTATTTTGTTTTTGTTTATGATAATTAACTTAATCACAGAACTACTATTGATGCAAAAATTAAATGTATTAGAAATTCTTTAGCAGCTGTCGTCGTTGTTGTTATGATATTCTCAGGAAGAAGAAAAAAACGAAAATAAAATCACTTAGCTCGATTATATCTAGAGGGATCAATTTCTTTAGAGAATTCAGTCATAACTTCTTTATAAATGACTGGATCTAAATTGCGGCCCAACATATAGATGAGCCACCAATCACCAATATCCAATTTTTGGGATAAAATACGGCAAGTTTCCAAACTAATCATACGATTGCGGGCATGCAACAGGCGAGGACGGAACTTGGGCATGAATAACATAAGACCGCTGTAGGGAATAAATAGAAAGAAATAGAATCAATAACATGAGTAGGATTTCAAATGACAAAGTAGTTTTTAACTTACCGGAATACTAACAATCCTATAAGGAGAGCCAACAAAATCATATACCAAAACCATATGAAAACATAGGTTTTCTCATTCACTATATTTAGGGGTAGAATACACAAAGAATCGTGTTTCTGCAATGAACCCGAAGCACCATATTTATGGAATATACATTTAGTAACACGTGGAAATATATAAACCATAGGATCTACTCTCTGTTCCTGTGGCACATCTGACAATTGCATTATTCTCGTACCATATGACATAAATTCACCATCAAAGAAACGATTCATTAGATACATTTGTAAAATGATATTGACAAAGCATAAAGCCTCACAAAGCCAATATCTAATGGCATACATCTTATGACGTTTGACATGTTTTGTCAAATAATCGAGTAAAGCATCACGTTTAGCCTCTTTTTCTTGTCGCGTACAGATAGTGATATTCAGGCCCATAACAATCATACGCATAAGGCCGCCTTCAAATTTGTCCCATAAAAATTTGGGTGTATAACATGCAATGGCCTGAAAAAAGAAAGAAAATTATTAATAAGCATTTTTTGAATGTGTTTTATAAAAAAGTTAAGGTATTAACGATTTTGTTTGTTTGTTTTTAACTCTTTATTTTGTTTTCTTTTCCAACATGCAAATCTTTTTAATTGTTTTTAAATCAAAACATCAACCAAATATTATACAATCTTTGGTCATTGATCTTTTAGTTGTTTTTTTTTCTATCAATGCATGTATGTGTTTGCAAAATTAAATTTATTTATATGTGTCTTAAACGCTGTGCGTGATTTAAAAAAATTTAATAAAGTTTTATTTTGGAAGTTTGATTTTATTTGTATGTATGTTTTTTACTATGTTTTTGGATTCATATGTTTTTTTACTTTTTTCTACAAAATCATCATTAATTTAAATCACGTCCAATAGTCAGCATTTCTTCAACGGTCAATAAAGCAAAATAAAATAGCAAAAAACTGTTTTTAACTGCAGAATGATATTTAAAGAAAGTCACACAATAAAATTAAATAACAAAGTTAAATACGTGGGTTACTGCATTTGTTTTGAGAAACAATTGGAGGTTCAATCGGACTCATTGGGGAAAATTCTATTTTATTTGAATATTTGAGGAATTTTCACTAGAAAATGGATTATGAATTATTATATTTTCAGAAAAAAATTAAATTTCAATAGATTGAATTTTCACGATAAAATCGATCATTCACTATTAATTAAATCGAATTACCAACAGAAAATCAAATTTTTATCAGAAATTTGAATATTTCGTAAGAAAAGAAAGAAAATAAATTTTCACCTAAAATCTAATTTGTCATAGGTTTAGAACATCTACAATTTTATTCTGAATATAAAAAACCCTTATTTTATTAATGTATGATCTAGAAGGCATGCGGATGGTGAGGAAAGGGATGTTGATTTTTGACCACGAATAGCATTGTTCTCCAATTTTGATGAAAAACTAGTGAATTTTAAATTAGATGTGTGATCCGCGGGATGTTATTAATTTTTGATGACTTTTTGTCCGTGAAAGTATTCACTATTTCAAATACTATAGAGTATTTTTAGATTTGATTAAGATGTTGTTTCAGTTTTTAATATTTGAAAATATAATGTGAATAAAACTTTAATATCAAAACTATCATTCAAATATTAACATAAAACTGGATCAATTCGAATCTCTAAGGCCCACTGTTAGATTTAATATAATAAAATTTTCAACAATACGATCTACACGATAAGTAATCATGATTTATATATAAATTTATTTCTATATATGTATACATTAAAACCTTAATTAAAGCCAATTGAAGTAGAATTGAGAAACTATCTTTATACATATAAACATACAAAAAAAAACTTTAGTACATATAAACTTATGTATATACAGATATACATACATATGTACATAGTTTTAAACTCATCCCAAACTTAACAACATAAAGTACTTGAAAACACACATAAAAAAAGACTGACGATGATGATGATGATGATTTTCGAAATTTAAGTACTTGTACAGAGAAACAAGATCACTTCTGAAAAACTCGTGTAGACAAATAAATGGTTTTTAAATTGTCTATAGAAAAAACAACAACTAAAAAAAAGAAAAATTAAAGAACTAACCATATTTAGCTGGAAATAAGAGTGTAAGAAATTTAAGATGTTCGAAAAAATATAAACAACGAAATTAGATCTCTCCCAAAATAAAATTGATCATTACAAGAAAACGTGATCAATTGTGTAGAAAAATAAACAAATATCAATAATTTTTTGCCAACAGTTATAGCATAAAAATAACTGTAACACACGTTTATTTTATTTTATTTTTTTTATTTTCACATTAATTGAATCAATTATTTTATGCGATTTTGTTTTAATAAAAAATTTAATTCAATTACTGTTTAAACAATTGAAATTTAAAACTAACTGAAATGAGTATATAGTATAAAACGTGTGAAAAAAAAAACGGTTTTATGTTGATTTGCCTTTAAAAGTAATCACGCATTAAAAAATCTAAATATTGCATCACATATAAATCGTGTTTTTTTTTTATAAATGTTTTGAAATTTATGCTGGTGTGTAGTTTTTTTTTTTTTTTTGTTTCAAATTTGTTTTGACCATAATTAAAGTATTCGTGTGGCTATTCTTATATATAAATTTAATTAATGTTTTGCGTCATAAAACTATAGTATTAAAACTCACCTGAAAGAAGAGCACAAAACAAACCCACTGATAGTAGGTATAGTATTTTTTAGCATCTTCATCATCAAAATCATTTGCAATACCAGGATGTGCCACTTCGCGACCAACCTAAAAAATTATAAAAAAAAATATGAGACTTCAAATTGTAGAGATTTTTTCAAATAGATGTATTTAAAAAATTTACAAAGACGATTTTTAATAAAATATTTCTTTTTAACTATAAATATGCAATAATGCCACA